CAACTTCTTCCGTTACTACAATGGAAAGTAACAAGGAACACGTTACACCAACTTCTTCCGTTACTACAATGGAAAGTAACAAGGAACACGTTACACCAACTTCTTCCGTTACTACAATGGAAAGTAACAAGGAACACGTTACATCAACTTCTTCCGTTACTACAATGGAAAGTAACAAGGAACACGTTACCTCAACTTCTTCCGTTACTGCAATGGAAAGTAACAAGGAACACGTTACATCAACTTCTTCCGTTACTGCAATGGAAAGTAACAAAGAACACGTTACACCAACTTCTTCCGTTACTACAATGGAAAGTAACAAAGAACACGTTACCTCAACTTCTTCCGTTACTGCAATGGAAAGTAACAAGGAACACGTTACATCAACTTCTTCCGTTACTGCAATGGAAAGTAACAAAGAACACGTTACACCAACTTCTTCCGTTACTACAATGGAAAGTAACAAGGAACACGTTCAATAAATTATTTTCTACTCCAAACAGTTGTTACTTTCAAATATTATCGAGAACTTTTAATCACTTAGAGACGAAAGTGATGGTTAGGTTTATACTTTTGGTTAGAAGCTTATCAGAACTCCCCCTAGCTCAAAGCAGCTCGTAATTTTATGAACAGAAACAAAAAACCACTCTTCGTAAATACTGAATAATATGAATTGATTTTCGCTCTAGTTCCAAAATAATATTACGATTATTTTCGATTACCTCGTGCTACTTTTCAGAAAACGCCGTTCCACATTTTTCTGATATGCAGTCTGTTTAGAAATGAGAAACTTCTAGAAAAATCTATATTGAATTAAAAGCATGGAATGGAAAGAACAACGAGCACGACATCAACTAAGGTGTTTACACATTGATAAATATATATATATATATTAATCGGTTGAAATGATTAGCTTACATCTCTCGCGGCAAGATATATTAAGTTATTACTGTTCGCGTACATAAAATTACAAACAACAACTTTGTCTACTTTAGTTTATATTACTCAAACATATCAGTAACTTTCACAAAAAAGAAAATAAGTCAATTATAAACCAGTTCTCGAATTTCCTGCCTAATGAGTTATGGAAAACAAAGGAATAGATGAGAAAAATAAAACTTACTCCAAAAGTTAGATAGCGTACAAAACGGAGGCTGTGAGCCTTCCCACACCAATGGACTACCAAACAAAGGTACCGCTTAGATCTAATCTTTAATGGAATGACACCCCCCCCCCCACTACCAAACGTACTGAATAGGTTTTGTGAATATAAAACATCCCCTGGTGGGTCAGCGGTAACCTTACGAACTCACAACGTTAAAACTCGGGGTTCGATTCCCCACGGTAGACATAGCCTAAAAATGGCTTTGCTCTAAAAAAAAAAACAAACATATGTAAAATCTCGCACTGTTCATAGCCTACATACTCGCTTTTTGACAAGTTTATATTCTGTTCGTAGACACTCTTCCGGGATTTCTATCTTTACAGGTTCGAACATCACGAGTTTTTCTATCCTCAATGTATGGCTTAGTTGGATAGTCCTAGGCCCATTTTCTGGTTTGTTTTATTGGTATGTGTTTGAGTTAAAAACAACTATACGTTTCAGAAATACATCATTTATTCACGACCATGGTTGCGCCAGTGTTTGAAACGTACAATTATAATTATGGAATTTCGTCAATTTAATCATCAAGTAATTACATTATATACTTATATGTAAATACATATTGTTTACATGTACTTATATGTAAATACATATTGTTTACATGTACTTATTTATAAATACGTACTGTGTAAATGTCACTATGTACATACATACAAAGCGTTGTGAGTTATTCATTCCGAAAAGATTTGTAAGGACGATTATTTTATCCGTAGATAGGTTTATTTAGGTTTCTTAAATCACCACGGGCGATCGAACCTCGGATTTTTGCGTTATAAGTCCGCAAACTTATCGCTGACCCACGGGGATTATGCATGACGGAAATTGTAAGAAACCGAGGTATACAATGAGAGACAGCCGGTTCGTAGATTCCCTGTACCCGTCCCTTTGTCTCATCGTATGCTTCGGTAATTCTACTAAGGATAGCACGTTTCTAATACAGTAATTCTACTAAGGATAGCACGTTTCTGATAGTTCCTAACATTTTATCAAATCAGGATGACCCAAAATTTTGGTAGTCATGGTCACGAACTTTCTTCAGCAGCTGTTGCCATCTCGAATTTCGTGCAAAGCTACTCGAGAGCTATCTGTCCTAGCCGTTCCTAGACTAGAGGGAAAGCACCACCCACCGCCAACTCTTAAGCTTCTCTTTACCAACGAACAATGGGATTGACCGTATCATTATAACGCCTCCATGGCTGAAAGGAAAGTATGTTCGGGGGCGGGGATTTGAACCCAGACTTGAGGGAAGGCAGCTAGTCATCACCACCAACTCTTGGGCTACTCTTTTACCAATGAATAGTGGGATTGACCGTCACATTATAACGCCCACACGGCTGAAAGGGCGAGCATGTTTGGTGTGACGGGGATTCGAATTCGCGACCCTCAGATTGCGAGTCGAGCGCCCTAACCACCTGGCCATGCCGGGCCACCCTAACTGTCCTAAACTAGCCAAACCTTATGAGAGATTATTGGGATTACGGACGAAAATATAGATAGATTCTAAACATTATAAGTAGAATGGTGTATATATATATATATATATATATATTAGTTTATTTTTAATTCTGATGTATCTAAATAGCTTGCTTTGATTCAAAGTTAATAATAATAATCGAAATTTCTTCTTTTCCAAATACTATATTAATGTTCTTGTGGCTCA